TATCTCTACTGAGCGCTTACTCAACTCGCATGTCAGCCTACTTTGATTGGCATTCAGAACAGGTGGCTGCGTCAGTTGGCTGGTGTCAATACGCTCACAGCGTCGTCGCGGGCTTCCGCCAAGACGCATCCGCATGTCAGCACATACAAGTGCCTGGTTGATGTCCACACATGTGCTCCAAATCGAGCGACAGTTCTGGATGCAGCCTCTCCATCCGTAACTTATCGCAGTGTGATCGATTTGCACCCATAGCTAGTTCGAGGCTGGTGGGCGCCAAGTCACCCTCCGGCGGGTGCTGTGTCGGAAGTTAGTGCTTACAAGAAATAAGCAGGCATCTTCACACAAGCAACCGCTCACCGTTATCATTACTGGAGTTTGTCGAACAACCTCCTCGTGATGCCAGCTGGGTGTTTCTTGATTTTCCCGTTCCAGCTAATGGTTCAGCGGCAGTGTTCCAGGACGTGGTGGTTTTGTGCCTGGCAAGCGTTCTCCCTGTAAAAAGCCACATATGTCCGTTTAACAACACTGTGACGTGGCGGACGTGACTCACCACTAAATAAAGTCACTGCCCCTTGCTTCATCCTGGCGAAGCATTGTATTCCAGCAACTTTGTGCTGTAATTCTGGGGAGCATTGGGCCCTGTTTGACAAAGAAACAAACGAAGGCGTATGAACTGAGCAATCAGTCACCGGCTCCCAATGGGCGCGATTCCCTGAATTCGCTCCGCTGCCTTGCGGGCAGGCTATTCAGCCAAAGGCTCGTGGTGGTGTCCCCTAAGTCAACACCCTACTTCGGCTTGGGCAACCGGGTAATATGTTGCCCTCTGACGAAACCATGGGCTTTAATGTGTGGTGTTGTGTTTTCTTTTACAATTTCTGTACCTTCTTTTGTGTTCCATGGTTTCTGATGGTTATGTCTATTCATAGACCGTTATATATATATATATATATATATATATATATATATATATATATATATGACCGATTTGTAGCAATGTGCATACATTGAGTTATGCCAATCTGAAGAAGGATCGAGGGCTCCAAATGGAAGCCGGTGAACTGGAATATATATATATATATATTTATTCACAGTCTGTTAACAGACATTGTGCCATCAGAACCATGGCAGAAGAAAAAGGTGAAGAAGATGGGGACACTAATGCGATTAAAAAAATATGGGAAACGAATTTTTTTTGGTTTTACACACGCCATTTTGTATTTTTTGTTTTGTTTTGTGAGTTTTTGTGTGTATCAAAGGGATGGTGAAATTGCGGAACAACATTGCCGCCACTGATGTCTGTTGCGGGCCATGACGTCCAATGTTTCCAACCACTGCAATTCAGCATCTCGTGGTCCCCAACCTGGAAGGCGGACTGGTCCGACTGCTGCCAGACTTGAGGTCGCCTTCTTCATACTCCTTCTCCACGTCATCGGCTGTCCACCGCGGCACTTTTTCCAATCGCGCCCTGGGAGTGCAAATAGCGCTCGACGTGGAAGGCGATGGGCTGGCATGCGCAGAACATGCCCGAGCCAGCGCATGCGATGTCGGAGAATAACGTCTTGAAGACTGGCACTATTCGCCCCAAGCACGCGGTCTCTCACCTCTGCGTTGCTTACGTGGTGTTGCCACCACACTCTAGCAATCCTTCGTAGACAGCGATTATCAAAGACTGATAGCCGCTTCATATCTTCCGAGCGAATAGGCCAAGTCTCACAGCCGTACAAGAGTACTGCACGGACGGAAGCATTGTACACCCTGCCCTTGAGCTTGAGACTGACATCACGACGACGCCATAGATGTCTCAGTTTGATGAATGCAAGGCGGGCCTTTGCAATCCGTTGTGAGACTTCATCTCCAACACCGCCACCAGCCGTGATGCAACTCCCTAAGTAAGTGAAGCAAGGGACTTGCTCCAGAACATGTCCAGCAATGGTGAGCGCAGGTTCAGGCACCTGCCAATCCTGGAGCAGCGTTTTACATTTTCCCGGAGTGAAACACAGGCCGTACTTAGACGCCTCCATCGCCAAGCGGTCCAGAGCGTTCTGAACGGATTGTGGGTCGTCCCCCAGCAAGGCGATATCATCGGCGTAGTCCAAGTCCGTGAGTCTGTCTCCAGGGAGAAGCTCAACACCACAGTCCTGGACACCTTCCATTGCTCTTTGGAGAACATCTTCGATGGCGAAATTGAAGAGGAAAGGTGAAATAGGGCAACCTTGGCGAACACCGCTGGTCACAGCGAATGAAGAGGAGTGCGTGCCGTAAGCCCTAACTTTGCCCGACGTGTGACTGTAAAGTACTTTCAGGATGGTTACAAACTTGTCGGGCACACCTTTCTTCAGTAAACAGTTCCACAACGCAGATCTATCTACTGAATCAAATGCCGCTCGGATGTCCAAAAACACTACGATTGTTGGCCGCCGGTGGATGTGACGAAGTTCGAGAACTTGCCGAAGCGTGAAGATTTGGTCGATGCAGCCACGGCCTGGACGAAATCCAGCTTGTTCTTCTCGGGAAAACTCCTCTCTAGTCGTTGAAAGCCTGCCAAGTAGGACCGACACGAAGATTTTGGATGCGACAGAGATTAGGGAGATTCCGCGGTAGTTGCAGCAATCAGCGCGGGAACCCTTCTTGTGAATCGGGACAATGACCGATTCTCCCCATGAGCTCGGAACCTTCTCCTCAGTCCAAACTTTCGTGAACAGCGATAGGATTTCGCTGATAAGTACACTCCCACCATCTTTGAATAGAGCTGGTGGTAGGTTGTCGGGACCCGAAGCTTTGTGGCGTTTCAAAGATTGGACTACATTTCGAATCTCTGCTTCATTTGGGGGGGGGCTGTGGAGACAGGCCAAGCATCATACATTGGGGCATGAGGTGTCGCAGGGGACTGTGTTGGGTGGTTGAATTGAAGAGCGAAATGCTCTGACCAGCGACCCAATCGTCTGCGAAGGTTGGTGATCTTCGTGCCGTCTGCCTCGCAAATCGTCTGGCTGATAGCGTGGAAATTGCAACCAGTGGCCCTGATGATGTAAAACAGACGGCGGAAGTTGCCAGCTGATGCAGCGGCTTCCATCTCACCAGCTTGTTTTGACCACCAAAATTCACGATCAGAGCGAAGGCTTGCTTACAGCTGTTGCGTAATAGACCGGCGGTGTTCGTTGTACTCTGCGCCAGCAGGCACCGCCCGTCGACGATCCAGCAATTCTGATGATCTTCCCGAGATCCAGCATTTGGGAGTGGAGCGAGTGAGGCCACAGCTGGACAAACCGGCCGACAACAAGGCTTGCTGGAGACTTGACCAGTGTTGATCAACATCCAGAGTGTGAGAGAGAGGAAGCTTTTCGCGAAGCTTTTGTTGATAATCTCTCTTCACCATTGGGTCCTCCAACTTGTAGGCATTCAGTCGGGTGTGTTTTGACCTAGGCGAACCACCAAAACGCATGCAAACGGTCGCACACACCAGTGCATGATCGGTGTCGACGCATGTTGACCAAAATGATCGGCAGTCGCGTACACTGCCGCGCCACCTGCGACTTATAGCTATGTGGTCAATCTGTGACCAGCGCTGGGTTGATGATGGGGGGCGCCAAGTGGCGTACTGGCGTCCAGGATGACGAAAGCTGGTGCTGGAGAGGAATAGTTGATGATCAGCACAAAGACTGAGCAGTCTCTCTCCATTGTCTGAGCGAACATCATCATATCCATGCGGTCCTCCGAGGTGACGCTCACATGGCAGCAGACGACCGACACGCGCGTTGAAGTCACCTGCCAAAACAATGATGTCTGTTTTAGGAGCCCTTAGGAGCAGCTCATGAAGGTTCTGGTAGAACTGGTCTTTGACGATGTCTGAGCTACAGTCAGTGGGCGCGTAGGCAGAGATCACGAAGAGAGCACGCTTTTCGACTCGACATCTGCTGACCTTACAAGAGCCATGGAGCCTCATCGCACAAAGGCGGCTATTGATCGGAATCCAATCAATCAAAGCAGTCTCGGCTCTAGCGCTGAGGGCGATTCCAACACCAGCTTGCCCAGATGCGGCAGACTCGGCGTCACCAGAGAGGCGGAGATGGAACCGGGTGCGTGGATGCAGCGGTGACACCAGCTGGTAGACCGAGTTAGAGTCCTGGAGTCGTGTTTCAGTCAGGCAGCAGATATCAATTCCAAGGGTCTCTAGCGTGCGTGCAACTCCAGCTTGCTGACCGATCTGCAGTAATGTGCGTACGTTAAAAGCTGCAAGTTTGAACTGCGTTCCGGGTTGCAGGAGCGAAGATAGGCGACTTTGGGGCCGGCAACTCTCTGTTGAGTACTGTGTGGTTGAGTTGGCGGATGTCACGGGAACAGGTTCATCAGTGTAGGTGGGATTGATCGTTGTAGAGGAATCAGGTAAAAATGGGTGTGAATGGGACACGGGAAGAGTAGGTAAAGTGGTGGCGTGTGCTTGTGCAGTTGGCATAGTAACATGAGTGGATAGCATGGTAACAGCAAGACAGCGGGTGAAAGGTTGTGTTGTAAGTCCATGGTTCGTCAGTGGGCGAGATACTACCCGGTTGCCCAGGCCGAAGTAGAGGGTTGTCTTAGGGGGCCCCACCCCGAGCCTTTGATCAAGGATCTAACCTACAAGGCAGCAGGGCGATATGAGGGTATCGCAACCCGTTGGGAGCCGGTGACCAAACAAATGGTTCATACGCCTTTAGGACCGCATAGGACCAGGGGCCCAACGCACCCTTGAATTACAATGCCACTCAGAGAGAGGCAAGGGGCAGTGACTTTATTTAGTGGTGAGTCACATCCGCCACGTCACAGTGTTGTTAAGCGGACATATGTGGCTTTTTATAGGGAGAACGCTTGCCAGGCGAAAACCCACCACGTCCTGGAACACTGCCGCCGAACCATTCGCTGGAACAGGATGATCCCGAACCACCCAGCTGGCACCACGAGGAGGTTGTTCGGCAAGCCAGCCGGTGAACAGGAAAGCACCGCCTGCTTGGACATGGGCTTGTCGAGAGGGCAAGAGTGACTCTCCGCGTTTGCATTTGAGTTGAAACTAGAAGATAAACGCCTAGCAAAGCATGTTGGGTAGGGCCAAGAATCGGGGGGTTGAAAACTGAGTGGATAAAAGTGAAGTTGGTACGGGACCATGAGGGAGAAAAAGCGCAAGAAGGGGAACAAGAAGGCGGGAAAGCTTGAGCAGTAGCATCCAAACCCCCATCCACCCTGCTCGATGCAGCAGATAGGGCACCGTTGATTATTGCGATGGCCAGAGCATCAAGAGATTGTTAGAAGGAAAAGTCATGAAGTGACCGTACGTAAACTAACCCGACTTGGAGACGTGCCTGTCAGTAGCCCCAACCTTAGTCCTCGTCTTCTAAAGGCGATTCTTTCCACAGCAGAGGAGCGCCAAGCGCTTATGCGATTTGCTTTTAAATTAATAGGTTCTGGAGTCATCATGCAGCCGGACCTTCCACCAGCGGATAGGGTGAATCTGAAGGCAGCTATCCAAGACCTCGAGTCACGTCGCGCTGCTGGTGAAAGTGGTCTGCGGTTGTTGGTTTTTCGAGTGGTGCGCCGGCGGTCTACTTCCGCCATGCCAGAGCCCATCTTGGTGGCGCACGATCCTGGACGCACTATACCAGTACCCTATCAGATCCACCGGACGCAAAGTTTAGGCCATCAGTCAGACCATCTGTGAGTCAAACGGTACAAAGATAACCAACCTACGCAGACGTCTCGATCTCTGGGCAGAGCACTTTGCTCTCCAGTTTAATTGCGTTGCACAACCTCCGGTTACACATCCACTGCCATCATGTGACCCTTGTTCAGTCTGTATAGATCCTCTCACTGAAGCAGAAATACGGAGAGAAATCCAGACTCTGACAGGCCAAAAATCTCCTGGCTTTGACAGTCTTCCTCCGGTTTTATTCAAAGATGGGAGAACTTAGTTGTCACCGAAATTCTATCACTGTTCACAAAAATGGAGCGCTGAGAAGGTTCCTAACTCATGGGAGAGTCTGTTATGGTTCCGATCCACAAAAAGGGCTCTCGTAGTGAGGTCTGTTGCGGGCCATGACATCCAATGTTTCCAACCACTGAGATTCAGCATCGCGTGCTCCCAAACCTGGAAGATAGACTAGTCCGATTACCGCCGAACTTGAGGTTGCTTTCTTCATGCTCCTTCTCCACGACATTGGCTGTTCATCACGGCACTTTTTCCAGTCGCTCCCTGGGAGTTCAAGTAACATTCGATGTGGAAGGCCATAGGCCGGCATGCGCAAAATGTGCCCTAGCCAACGCATGCGATGTCAGAGGATAATGTTCTGAAGACTGACACTATTCGCTCTAAGCACTGGGTCTCGGATCTCTGCGTTGCTTACGTGATGTTGCCACCACAACCGAGCAATCCATCATAGACAGCGATTGTCCATGACTGACAACCGCTTCATGTCTTCCGAGCCAATAGGCCGTCTCAGCCGTATAGAGTACTACACGGACGGAAGCATTGTACACCCTGCCCTTGAGCTTGAGACTGACATCACGACGACGCCATAGGTGTTGAATGCAAAGCGGGCCTTTGCAAACCGTTGTGAGACTTCATCTCCAACACCGCCACCAGCCGTGATGCAACTCTCTAGATAAGTAAAACAAAGGACTTGCTCCAGAACATGTTCAGCAATGGTGAGCGCTGGTTCAGGCACCTGCCAATCCTGGTGCAGCGCTTTACATTTTCCCGGAGTGAAGTATAAGCTGAACTTGCCTCGGTCGCTAAGCGGTCCAATGCGCTCTGGACGGTTTGTGGGGCGTCCTCCAGCAAGGCGATATCATCGGCGTAGTCCAAGTCTCTGTCTCCAGGGAGGAGCTCAACACCACAGTTCTGGACACCTTCCAGTACCCCTTGGACGACATGTTCGATGGCAGAATTGAAGAGGAAAGGTGAAATATGGCGACATTGGAGAACACCCCTGGTCACCGCAAACGAAGAAGGGAGCGTGCCGTAAGCCCTGACTTTGCCCGACGTGTAACTGTAAAGTTCTTTCAGGATGGTTACAAACTTGTCGTGCACACCTTTCTTCAGTAAACAGTTCCCCAACGCAGATCTACGAGGGTCATTCAATAAATAAGGTGAATTTTTCGGTGTAAGGACTTCTAATACAGATAGAAGCTTACTTTTTGTTGTTTTACTTCTTTTTCACATGGATGTAATTTTTTTGCAGATTGAAAAATACTTTGAGAGTTGTAGCGATTAACAAAGATGGCCGACCAAGAAGCATGCTCCAGGATTGAACAGCGGTCAGTTATCAAGTTTTCGGTTGCTGAAGAGAGCAAACCAGTTGAAATTCATAGGAGAATGTCAACTGTGTCTGGTGCCACATGTTTCAGCCGAAAAATGTCTACAAGTGGGCAAAATTGTTTAAAGAAGGACGGAGCCGTGTTGAGAATGAAGACAGGCCTGGGAGGCCTACAGAAGTGAGGTCTCCTGAGGTGGTCGAATCAGTCAATGACCTCATTCAGTCGGACAGAAGGGTGACAGTGGATGACATTGACAATTTTGTGTGCTGCTCAACAGATAAGCTCAAAGTCCTTGCAATGTCATCCACTGTCACCCTTCTGTCCGGCTGAATGAGGTCATTGACTTATTCGGCCACCTCAGGAGACCTCACTTCTGTAGGCCTCCCAGGCCTGTCTTCATTCTCAACACGGCTCCGTCCTTCTTTAAACAATTTTGCCCACTTGTAGACATTTTTCGGCTGAAACATGTGGCACCAGACACAGTTGACATTCTCCTATGAATTTCAACTGGTTTGCTCTCTTCAGCAACCGAAAACTTGATAACCGACCGCTGTTCAATCCTGGAGCATGCTTCTTGGTCGGTTATCTTTGTTAATCGCCACAACTCTCAAAGTTTTTTCAATCTGCAGAAAAATTATATCCATGTGAAAAAGAAGTAAAGCAACAAAAATAAACAAAAAGTAAGCTTCTATCTGTATTAGAAGTCCTTATACCGAAAGATTCACCTTACTTATTGAATGACCCTCGTATCTATTGAATCAAATGCAGCTCGGATGTCCAAGAACACTACGATTATTGGTCGCCGGTGGTTGTGAAGAAGTTCGATACATTGGTGGAGCATGAAGATTTGGTCGATTCAGCCGCGGCCTGGACAAAATCCTGCTTGTTCTCGGGAAAATTCCTCACTATTCGTTGAAAGCCTGCGAAGTAGGACCGACACGAAGATTTTGGATGCGATTGAGATCAAAGAGATTCTGCGGTAGTTACAGCAATCGTCGCTTTAGCCTTTCTTGTGAATCGGAGCACTGACCGATTCTCCCCATGAGTTCGGTACATTCTCCTGTACTAGTGGAATATAATACGGTAGAAGCCTTTAAATGAGGCCTAGATACGAATTGGTCCACTTTGTTCCCGGAATGACACTGCGATTGGTAGATTTCATTTAATACCAATAGGATGTCTCTGCAAAGTAATGCTTGAACGTCGAACTGCCGGGGGCCTTGGCTTGCATACCGGCACACGAAACGGGACGTTCGTTAGACGAAGGCCTGTTTCATCCCTGAACATCTGACCTGACTTACTAGTCAGCTAAACATCCAACCTTCTACGAGGTATTCATTTTTGTGTTGCAGCTCTGTCTTTTACGGCCCGCCGTACTATTTGGACACAGAAGAGCTTGGAACGCCGGACCGGAGGAATATTACAATTAGAAGCGTGAATTATAACTTCCAAGTGCTTGCATTTTGGCAACAATGTCACATTACGTTCGAAGACTGTGAAATGCTCCTTATGTGGTAGATGGCTGCACATAGTCTGCTGCGGCATCAGCGCTGAGCTTTACCATCAACTTCAGCTTTGTACCTCCCCGGTCATTGTCTTCCATTGTGACTCGTGCAGAACTGCAGGAAGCAGCAACCGCCTGTCTACCAATCTACGGTCGCTCTCCCCATGTTCTTGTCCATCTTTGGCTGTCCCCCAAAAATGATGAACATCACTCTCCTCGCTCTCCCTCGGACACTGCTACTTCGGGACGGCGGAGTCGACTCCTCTGCGGTTCATCTGCAACATGTCCAACGACTGATGGATGGAGCCGCCCGACAAAATCGAAGACATCTACAGTTGTAACCGCGGACTGCCGATCGACATCTATTTCTTCGCCCTCCCGTGAACAGGGTTCAGCCCAGAGCCGACTTTCCACTCTTCCCTCGCCATAAGTGATTAGGTCTGATACACAACGCAACACCCAGAGAGTGAGGTCCTATGCTTCCGTAGTAAGTGCATCCGCTCCCCAAACGTCTACCACTACCACTAATGTTGTACATGCTGAGGCATCACCGACAGCGGCGAAGTCAAAGTCTAAGCCTAATTCGACGAATTCTAAGCTGAAGCTCATTCTTGATCGGGTTAACCAGTTTGAGCAAGTGATCAGTGAAAACCCGCGCCCTTAAGGGCCGCACCCCCTTGACGGACGCAGACATTTTTGTGACAGATGCCTAATTGTTATGAATGTTCCTGAGTCCAACAAGGAATCTCCAGCTGAAAGGATTCTGGTTGATTATACATTCCTTGAGCGTTTGTTTTTCTTATGTTCGATGATGGCGAGCAGGGAATCAGTATCGTTTCCGCTTTTCGCCTCGGTAGAAATCAACATGAACCATCCAAATCCCGTCCCCTAAAAATCGTCTGTCCAAATGAGGAGGAAGTTCGCCGCATTCTAAGCCGAATTTTTCGGCTAAAAGGGAAGGCGTTTTTTGTCCTCAGAGTCCTCTCCCCAGAGGATCGCGGGAAAATAAAAAATGCGGTTCATGAAAAGCTGGCTCGTCGAGTGAATGACGTATCAAATCTCCTTATTGTGGATTTTCGAGTAGTCCAGAGAGCTCCGAGAGCCCGGTGGAAGCCATTATTTGTCACCCCCGGCCATTGAGGTTAAAGGAGGAATTACGTGTTATATATGAGAATGCGCCTAGTCTGAGAAATAAACGTCGGTCCGTCGCCTAGAGGTAATGAGCTTGTCTCGTAACCCTGCGGCGCGGGTTCGAATCCGCGTAGGGGTGGGTATGCTCGAGGTATACTCAGCCCGCGTGCGACTGGTGCTGATCGCATGGCAGCGAAGCGCCGTTACGGCCTACAGCTGACACATTATTATTTTCTAAGAAATAAACTAGACGTGATTCATCTTTTTACAGCAGAACACTGCCATAATCTGATGGCGTTTACTGAGACCTGGCTGACCTCCGACATTCTGGACTCTGAGATCTCCATTCCAGGCTACCATGCTTCCTGAGCCAATCGTTCTGGAGGGCGTGTTGGCGGGGGTGTTATTCTTTACTGGAAGGTGGATCTTCGAGTTCATATTGTTGCAGCTTTATGTGACAGTGACGGAGAATGGGAGCTGCTTTGGTGCCGCGTCCACGATGGTTGTAGATCATTTATAGTCCGTATTACAGGACTCCTTCGGGCTCTGGTACCGGCTTGTTGGAAGCTATCGGCAAGTATGGAAGCGGAAGTAACTGTCTAATTATGGGTGGCTTCAATGCCCCCAGTATCGATTGGGAACACCTTCACTGTGGACTCTGTTGAGTCTTTTGACAACGCTTTCCTCAATCCGTCCTGAAACT